AAATTTGAAACCGGCAAAATGATGACTTAAACCCCCCCTAATTTCACGTGGACTATAACATACTTTGATTGGAGCGAAATCGCAAATGGTGAGGTCCAATAGTGATGGGTTTGACGTGGAATGACCCTACAGTAAAAATTGAACAAATTTCCATAACAAATATTATTCTGTATATAATTACACTTAATAATGCATACATATTATTTTCCATCGAATGAGTGACAGAATATACAATGAAAAATCACAGAAAGAAAAAGTGTTTTGCAAGCAGCAGAACAGAGCCCGTCAGCTACGCCAGTGGGAACCGTTACGTGGGATGCAATGGCGCGTCCAAAAGACAAAGACATTGACATTCAAAAGAGGGAGCCTCCTTTCTGCTGGCTGTTCGCATCAGACGAACATTAAATCCCTCCTCCTTGCTCGATGCTTCTGTTACGTAGTCGCGATCCGAACCTGTGCAAGAACACGTTCCAGGACGCGCGTGCGTTCTGCTCAACCCTCTTCTGGTTCACCCCTTTTGCGCCGGTCATTTGCATCTTTTTGCGATTCCCTGAATGCGACGATTCTTCGTGGGAGACTTCTTGTTCCGATTTCGATCGCGGCTGATAGATTCATTTTATTTGCTTTTGGATTAGGTGACTTTTGGAGGAGATTTTTAAGGATGACGCATATGTGACGCACGTTTGACAAATTCATGACACACGCCTGACGCACCGATGACATATTCTTGACGTATTCGTGTCGCACTCTTAACGCACTCTTGACGCATCTTGGACATATTCGTGACGCGCTCGTGACGCACTCTGATGCAATCTTGACGCACTATTGATGCATTCTTGACGCATATGTGACGCACGTTTGACAAATTCATGACACACTCCTGACGCACCGATGACATATTCTTGACGTATTCATGTCGCACTCTCGACGCACTCTTGACGCATCCTGGACATATTCGTGACGCACTCTTGACGCACGTTTGACAATTCGTGACGCACTCTGATGGAATCTTGACACACTATTCATGCATTCTTGACGCATATGTGACGCACGTTTGACAAATTCGTGGCGCACTCGTGACGCACTCTGATGCAATTTTGACGCACTATTGATGCATTCTTGACGCATATGTGACGCACGTTTGACAAATTCGTGAAGCACTCCTGACGCACCGATGACATATTCTTGACTTGGTCATGACGCACTCTTGACGCACTCTTAATGCATTCGTGACACTCTTGACGCACTTGTGACGTACTGTTAACGCATACATGACACACTGTTGACACACCCAATACGCATTCGTGACGCACACTGATGCAGTCTTGACGCACTATTGATGCATTCTTGACGCATATGTGATGCACGTTTGACAAATTTGTGAAGCACTCCTGACGCACCAATGAAGGACCCGTGACGCACTCCTGACGCACCGATGACATATTCTTGACGTGTTTATGACGCACTCTTGACGCACTCTTAATGCATTCTTGACGCATATGTGACGCACGTTTGACAAATTCGTGAAGCACTCCTGACGCACCGATGACATATTCTTGACTTGGTCATGACGCACTCTTGACGCACTCTTAATGCATTCGTGACACATTCTTGACGCACTTGTGACGCACTCTTACTACTACATGTAAATCGTCTCGAGAGATAGCGCGAATTACATCAGTTATTGATATTCTTATCTGCCAAAATGTAACTAGTAGTTGAGCATATCAGCTTCTCATGTATCCCACACGCCAATACCTGGTTCGTCTACCATACATTTACCATCGAACCCATCCAAAGCATGCCGCAAAGAAATCAGAACATCTGATTCTATCGCGGAAGAAAAGAAAGGTTAGGAAAAGCTTTCGAGACGCGCAAAAAGTGTGTCCCGGGGACGCGTCCGCGAGGCGAAAGGACAAGGTATTTGCACTAGACCTAGAGAAAAACAGTGTTCCACGAGGATGTGCATAAAATTAGACGGTGCATTCAACTCTGCTGAGACGGTGCCAAGCTGCAAGCTCGCACGATCGCCTTTTTGTTCCTTGCGGGATGCTGCGGCACCGAGATGCAGCGGCAGCCAGGATGGCACCAATGCCCCCGTTCCAAACTGCTCGGTAAAACGCCCTCTGCGTCGCTGCCCGTAACAAATTGCCTTCCGACTTCGTGGAACGTGATACGTTTACCCTTGCGGATAATCCGGGGAACTGGAGAATTTTATTTCACGGTGGATGAGGAATTATGCTGCCGTGGCGGCCATATAGAGGGACCTACTATTGACCTTGAAATTCAATAAAATTGTCGGGGTGTTTTGGAATATATTCAAGGTTTATATAGGTCTATGTACGTTATATATCCTTATGTATCCCCACATGCCTATATCTGCCTTTGATGGTGCCATGTTGGCCATATAGAGGGACACCCTACTATTAAGGAACCTTGGAATTCAATAAAATTATGAGGATAAAGTTTTGGAATATATTCAAGGTTTATATAGGTCTATGTACGTCATATGTACCCATGTATCTTCACATGCCTATATCTGCCTTTGATGGTGCCTTATTGGCCATATAGAGGGACCTACTATTAATGACCTTGAAATTCAATAAAATTATGGGGATGTTTTAGAATATATGCAAGGTTTATATAGGTCTATGTACGTCATATATGCCTATGTATCCCCACATGCCTATATGCCTATATGCTTATATGGCTATATGACTATGCCTATATGACTATATACCCACATACCTGTATACCTATATGGCTACATACCTATATACCTATTTGTATATCTACATTCCTATAGCCTATATGCCTATATACCTATACAGCCTACATGCCTATGTGCCTATGCCTATATGCCTATATGCCTATACACTCTACATTAACAAATTAATCCAACTACCCAAACACCTCCTCTAAACCTCTACTTGCACCAAAAAAGTCACCAAAAATAAAAGACAAAATTTCCACGCCAAACTCCCGAAATCCCAACGCGTGTCAACCTAGAATCGCCCTAAAGATCCAGGTTCTTTAATTATTTTTAACGAAGCCAGGCGTTCTGGATCCTCGTTAAATCGCCGTTTGAAAAGAGCGGAGTCAGGACTCGTGCTATCCAGGGAGAGTAGACAAAAAGAGGGAGGGCAAGAAAGTCAGCCGACCATTCCCTTCCCAGCCCCCTTCTGACACGCTCGAATACGCTAACGAGTGTTCTATTTTTCAAGAGCACTATGTTTACCGCTGTCGGCGTCTGCTGTCGCTCATCCTCATCCCCGTGTGTTACGTGCATTCTGTCCCTCAGACGAGACCGATGTGTGACGCCGACGCCGACGACGTCGACCGAGGGAATGGGGCAGACAGACATTGCACTTTCCCTCACCCTGGGTTAGCCACCCTCGCTACTTTGCCCTCCGACTTTCATATCCTCGAACCCCTCCGACCACCGTGGGTCGATCACGCAGTGGTAGACAACCTGCGTCAAGAAAGTCAAGTTCAACGTTAGAGCGTCGGGCCCATGTGCTCCCTAGTCACTTATGGCAAGCTTAGTGAAGTTTACATTTAGGTATTTACCTCGTTAGTACTTAGTTTAGTGGTCAGACGTTTAGGGAATATCAAGGATTATGTGGGAGAGGTATGGGGATATGGGGAATCCTCCATAGTCCAAAGTGGGTGCATCACCAGATGCTTATTTTCATATCCATCGATCCATGAATCCCACATTTGTTAATTCCTAAATCCCCAAATTCCTATGTTATCAAATCCCTATTCTTACATCCACTGATCCCTAAACCTCGTTATATAGGGATATGGGGATTTAGTCCCAAAATCACCAGCTACCTATGATCCAAAGTAGCTGGACTACCAAACCCCTATTCTGGTATCCAGCGATCCATGAATCCCACATTTGCTAATTCCTTAATCCCCAAATTTCTATGTCATCAAATCCCCATTCCCACATCCACCGGTCCCTAAACGTCCTTATATAGGGATATGGGGAATTAGTCCCAAAATCCCCAAATACCATGTCCCAAAGTAGGTGTGTCAACAAATCTCTATTCTCATATCCATAGATCCTTGGATCCCACATTTATCCGGATTACTAAATCCCTGAATCCCCAAATGTCTAATTCTCTAAAATTCCTATATAAGTCCCTAGATTCCTCTATGCACCCCTCAACCTCCTCAAACACTTGTACTTTCAAATTCCCACCCAAAATTTTCCAAATCCCCAAATCCCTATCTTGAGAAACCCTTGTGCTCTCATGCTCTAATACCCCTAACCCAAAATTCCTATATCAAGTCCCTAGAGTCCACTATCCACCCTAAACCTCCTCAAATACTTCTATCTCCAAATTCCCACCCAAAAATCCCCAAATCCCTATCTTGAGAAACCCTTGTGCTCCCATACTCTAATACTCCAAACCCAAAATTCCTATACCAAGTCCCTAGAGTTCCCTATCCACCCTAAACTTTCTCAAATACTTGTACCTCCAAATTCCCACCCAAAAGTCCCCAAATCACCAAATCCCTACCTTGAGAAGCCTTTGTACGCTCATACTCTAATACCCCAAACCCCAAACTCCTATATCAAGTCCCTAGAGTCCTCTATCCACCCTAAACCTTCTCAAATACTTCTACCTCCAAATTCCCACCCAAAAATCCCCAAATCCCAAAATCCCTATCTTGAGAAACCCTTGTGCTCCCATACTCTAATACCCCAAACCCCAAACTCCTATACCAAGTCCCTAGAATCCCCTATCCACCCTAAACCTCCTCAAATACTTCTACCTCCAAATTCCCACCCAAAAATCCCCAAATCCCCAACTCCCCAAATCCCTATCTTGAAAAACCTCGTACCCCCATACTCTAACACCCCAAACCCAAAACTCCTAATTCCAGTCCAAACGCTCACTCCATACAATTTCCTCAAAAATCCCTAAAAGTCACCAAATGCTTGCACTGTTTGTCATATTTAAAGATTTGTCCCTGACTGTACACAGAAAGAAGATAGCAGTCCGATTTCGTAACAAGGTAAAAGGAGGAGACAAGCGTGGATACGAAAGTTGCCGGCCGCATGGCTGACATCATGGCTTCCCGACTAGATCTAGGCGAAAGTGGTGCTAGTTAATGCGTCGTCCGGGGTGACCGTCCAGGAATAACTCAGGACACGGCTGTCGGGTGGATGTTCATCAGTTCAAGGTTAGAAGCCGTCGCCATCGCAGCGGACCGAAATACATCCCTCCGTTGATGTATAAATACGCGGCCGTAGCTGTTGGTCCGAGGAGGGAGAAGCCACGATGAATCGTCGATGCATCCCGGTAACCTTGCTCTAAGCACCGGGTCGACGTGCTGATTTAAATAATTGCGCTGGACAGCCACGCAAAATCAGGGCCGCATGCGGGGACGCTTCTAGAATTTTCTTTGGGCACTGGTACAAGGTGGTACTTCAGGTATTTGATTATTGAATCTTCTTTAGGGACTCTTGCAATTTTTTTCAGAGGCTGTCGTTTCTTTGGAGGCTGTAGCTAACATTCGGAAGGGAGATTTACATTTGGAAGGTCTAGAATTTTCTTTAGGATATTTGGACCTAGCTGGATGGGTTGGAGTCTTTGGGACGTTTGGACTTTTCTGGAAGGCTGGGTATAGAAGCTACTTTGAGACATTTGGAAGGCTGGGTCTAGAATTTTCTTTAGGACCTTTGAACTTTTGTGGATGGGTTGGAAGCTTCTTTGGGACATTTAGACTTTTCTGGAAGGCTAGGTATAGAAGCTTCTTTGGGACATTTGGACTTTTCTGGAAGGCTGGGTATAGAAGCTTCTTTGTAGGCTTTTCTGGATGAGTCTAGAAGCTACTTTGGGACACTTGGACTCTTCTGGAAGGGTAGGCCTAGAAGCTTATTCATGGCATTTGGACTTTTCTGGAAGGCTGAGATTAGAAGCTTATTTATGGGATTTGGTCTTTTTTTTGAAGACTAGGTCCAGAACTTTGTTAAGGACCATATTTGGAATTTTTTGTTGCAGGTTGCTTCTAGAACTTTCTTTAGGACCACATTTGGATTTTTCTGGAAGGGTAGATCCACATCTTCCTTTAGGATCACATTTGGATTTTTCTGGAAGGCTAGATCCACATCTTTCTTTAGGATCACATTTGGACTTTCCTTAGAGGTTGCATTTAGAACTCTCTTCAGAACCACATCTAAACTTCTCTGGAAGGTTAGATCCAGTTAGGACCAAATTTGGACTTTTCTGGAAGCTGCACTTGGGTTATGAAGGCTGAGCATCGACTTTTCTGGACTATCAGAGTTAAGTCGCCCTAAAGGGCTGAATGTAGAGAATCTACTTACTGGAAAACATCTATAGGTCCTAGTCTAATAAAGCATCCAGAAAATTTAGTTATAGAGTCAATCTAAGAAGCGTAATTCATAAAAAACAGTAAGTCCTAAGCTAACAAGGGTATACCTGAAGGCTGAGCATCGACTTTTCTGGATTATCAGAGTTAAGTCGCTCTAAAGGGCTGAATGTAGAGAACCTACTTACTGGAAAACATCTATAGGTCCTAGTCTAATAAATCATCCAGAAAATTTAGTTATAGAGTCAATCTAAAAAGCGTAATTCACAAGAAACTGTAAGTCCTAAGCTAACGAGGGTATACCTGAAGGCTGAGTATCGACTTTTCTGGACTATCAGAGTTAAGTCGCTCTAAAGGGCTGAATCTAGAGAACCTACTTACTGGAAAACATATATAGGTCCTAGTCTAATAAATCATCCAGAAAATTTAGTTATAGAGTCAACCTAGGAAGCGTAGTTCACAAAAATCTATAAGTCCTAAGCTAAGGGACCACCTCAGTTCAAGATGACACCTGGAGGACCCAATTTCAGAAGAGAACTCAGAGTACCTAGAGAACCTAGAGAACCTAGAGAATCTAGAGGACTTAGAGAACTTAAAGAACCTCGAGGACTTAGAGAACTTAGAGAACCTAGAGTACCTAAAGATCCTACAGTACCTAGAGAATTTAAAACACCTAGAGGACCTACAGAACCTAGAGGACCTAGAGAACCTAGAGGACCTAGAGAACCTAGAGAACCTAGAAGCCTTAGAGAACCTAGAGAACCTAGAGGCCCTAGGGACCTTAGAGAACTTAGAGAACTTAGAGAACTTAGAGAACTTAGAGAACTTAGAGAACCTAGATTACCTAGAGAACCTCGAAAACCTAGAGTAATTAATTTCAGAAGAACCTAACCTGACCTAGAGGACCTAAAGTACTTAAAGAACCCAGAAAACCTAGAAAACCTAGAGAAGCTAAAGTCTCTAAAGAACCTAGAGAATCTAAAAAATCTAGAAAACTTAGAGGACCTAGTTTGATAGAATATCCCCCGACGTATCAAAGAATATAACCTAACCTAACTCCATCCGCTCTGTTTACCACCGGCTATTTGCTCCTCTGCAAGAACTAAAATGGCGTCCGTGTGCACAGCTAATCACCGCAGATAGAACTGTTACACCGTTGTAGAAGAAAGGCATCGAGTTACTGAACCGCCACAATAACATTCTATCAGTCCAGATTTACTCGGGCCGAGATAACAAGCCGCAAATACTCTCGAGGAGCCGAGATGATCGACCACAAACACGGGTCAAAAAGGAACGTTCAAACGGATCGTGCGCTGCTCAATGACAAGTGACCGATACCTCTTTTTTCCCTCTCTCGACCGAGGAATTTTCATGAAAGCGATCCACCGTCTCTTTCTGGGCTTCGGCGAAACGATAAACTCGCGCACAATGGATGCGTTGACCTTTACGATGGATACACCCTGTCGCATGTCGATGACACTGTGTTCTATAAAGATACTTAGAGGAGGTAGGGCCTTTTAGACTGCGCCGGGAGACGTTGAACCCGAGGACTGTTTCAACTATGCGTTTGGAGGAATTAGTTCTTCTTGGGAAATCGCAGGATATGCGTGGACTTAGGAATGGTCGGAGTTCAAAGCTTGAATTTTAATGAATTTTAGTGGCGGAGAGGAGGTACGCCATTTTGGATAGGAAGGACTCGCCTGATTGGTTGATGTATGGCGAATCAGGGACGTAGGAATTGGCGGGCGATTTGAAATATAATTTGTTATACTTGGCGTTTTTGTTAGATGTTGTTTTTGTTTGTCAGTGTAAAGATAGTTTCGCTGAATTGAAAGTCTTTTTTAGGTATAATAGATAGGTGCATTTGTATATATGCATTGTGAACTTGCAAAATTATAAATTTGTGAAATTGTTAAACTGTAAAATTGTTAAATTGTGAAATTGTTGTATTGTCAACATTTTTAATTGTAAAATTGTAAAATTGTTATATTGTAAGATTATAAAATTGTAAAATTGTCAAATTGTTACACTGTCGACTTTTTAATTATAAAATTGTAGAATTGTCAAATTCTCAAATTATCACATTTTTTAATTATAAAATTGTAAAATTGTGAAGCTGCAAATTTGTAAAATTGTAAAATTGTTATATTGCAAAATTATAAAATTGTAAAATATTCAAATTGTTATACTGTCGAATTTTTTAATTATAAAATTGTAGAATTGTCAAATTCTCAAATTATCACATTTTTTAATTATAAAATTGTAAAATTGTGAAGTTGCAAATTTGTGAAATTGTAAAATTGTTATATTGTAAGATTATAAAACAGTCAAATTGTTAAACTGTCGAATTTTTTAATTATAAAATTGTCAAATTGCCAAATTCTCATATTGTCACATTTTTAAATTATAAAATTGTGAAGTTGTGAATTTGTAAAATTGTAAAATTGTGAAGTTGTGAATTTGTAAAATTGTAAAATTATTATATTGTAAAATTACAAAATTGTCAAATATTCAAATTGTTATACTGTCGAATTTTTTAATTATAACATTGTGAAATTGTCAAATTCTCATATTGTCACATTTTTAAATTATAAAATTGTTAATTTCTAAAATTCTAAAATCGACTCTTCGCACCTCAAACAATAATTCTAACGAAAAACCCAATAAAAACTAGACAGATCCATACGAAATACGCTAAAAATATCGCGTGAAATCGGCAGAAATAACTTATCCCGCAAAATGGTTTACTTTCACTCGAATTAAATCTCTAAACAATTAGAAATCGCAATTACGGTTTTTGCTTATTTCGAAAGTGAACTGCGTCGAAGGAAACAAATGGTGCAATGAAAAAAACTTAATTATACATACAATTGTTAAATCGCGCAAAACAATTTCTATGAGAACATCACGCGTGTCAAATGTAAGAATTGTAAAACATAGTTACACTCAGAAATCAAACCATATCTCCTCATAACCTAAAAACAAACCTCTTAATTTAAGAAAAGCCTCCTAACCTCAAAAACACTGCTAACCTAAAAAATAAAAAAAAACCTAAACTAAAAAATCCTACTAACCTCAAAAAAGAACCTTGAAGGGATTAAATAACTTATGAGCCAATTACCTAATCTAACCTAAAAAAACCTCCTAACCTGAAAAAATATTCTAACCCAAAAAATCCTCCTAACCTCAAAAAATGAACCTTGAAGAGATTAAATAACTTATGAGCCAATTACCTAACCTAACCTAAAAAAGCATCCTGAACTAGAAAATCCTCCTAACCTCAAAAAAAAACCTTGAAGAGATTAAATAACTTATGAGCCAATTACCTAACTTAACCTTAAAAAACCTCCTAACCTAAAAAACAAACTAAAAAATCCTCCTAACCTGAAAAAAAGAATCTTGAAGAGATTAAATAACTTATGAGCCATCCACCTGTAACAGCGGAAACAAAGCAAATAAAATTTGCAAGAACCTCGTTGATTACCATAAATTGCACTCGTAACGATAGCTATGCAACAATGTGCTCGTTGAAAGTGTTCCCGGTGCATCCTGCGTGGTCAATTACCACGATAGCACCATTGTTCTCGGTGTCATCCGATCAACACATGTCTCTCTTTCCAGTGTGCGTGTACGTTTCGGTGTATCAGTTTCTTTCACGATAGCTTGTTTAGTTGAAAAAAAAAAATATATTATATCTCCGCGCGGTGGCATTGGTTACAATGAACTCGCGACTCGCACAATAACCTCGAATGAAATGGCAGACAGACCTTGAAGATCCGAAGTAGTGCAACAAATAATGAGATTGACAAGAACAACAGAATGATAATTCCACGGGAAATAACGGGGGGATGTACGGAACTTTATGTATGGCTTATCTGCGATACACAATAATTTCGTTTGTCAATTGAAGTAAAAATTTTGATTAGATTATTTGGACGGGTCGAGGGGTTTGGTATTTATAGATTAATTGTAACAAAGGAGCTTCCATGACTATTATGATGGGATTTGATTATTTTGATATTATGAATTTTTATTTTCGAGATAATAATGTGTACATGTGTACAAATAACTCACATATGAATTTGGAATATGTGTACATATAATGTATGTAATAAAATGTACGTACACATATTTGTATGCAACACGTATGAAAATAAAAAATGTACATACACATATGTAGAACACATATTAAAATAAATAATGTACATACACATATGTGGAACACATATGGAAATAAATAATGTTCATACACATATGTGGAACACATATGAAAATAAATAATATACACATATGTAAATGTACAATATATATAAAAATAAAAAAATGTACATACACATATGTGCAACACATATGAAAATAAATAAGGTTCATACACATATGTGTTCCACATATGAAAATAAATAATATACACATATGTAAATGTACAACATATATAAAAATAAAAAAATGTACATACACATATGAGCAACACATATGAAAATAAATAATGTACATACACATATGTAGTACACATATGAAAATAAACCATGTACAAATAAAAAAATGTAGAATATATACAAAAATAAAAAATGTGCATACACATATGTGCACCATATACAAAAATAAATACTGTACATACATATGTGTTCCACATATGAAAATAAATAATGTACACATACAAATGTAGTAAATACAAACGAATAATATACATCCATAACAAAGTACACCTACAAACTATTATACATAAATGTAACATTCACACATGTGATTCACACATGAATCACATAAGACCTTACAATACAAGAAAATAACACATATTCCATATACTTGAATTTTAATGCAAACACGAGTAAAATTGATTAAGATACATCAGTAGAGAAGATTAGATTTTGGCAGATGAATTCTGAATTTCTGGACCAGCACGGTCGAGCCCTCGTGGCTCTTGAAGGTGCGATGCACCTACGTGCAGCCGGGTCAAGGTCGTATCCCTCGTGCGCCTCGCTCGGCTGAGTCATTCGTGCAGAATCGTGCATGCTGAAACGCGCGCGAGCGCAAAGTGCATCGAACCCGATGACCGTTGCAGCTGCGACTGCGGCCCGAGCGATGCTCGTGCAACCTCGGCCAAGTTCGGCTGCATTCCGCGTGCATCAACCCGGGAGACCGCCCTCGAGAGAAGCGCCGAGTGCAATGCCCAATGTCGCGCGAACACGCGCCGCTTCGCGAACAGCTGCGTCGAAAGCTGAGGCTGACGAACTAGCTGGATTCTATTATGCGACTTTTTTTCATTTCTTCGGTTGAACAGGTATACTTCACCTTGGTATATACACAAGAGGATATCATTTGTTACGACGATTTTTAAAGTGGTGGAAGATCAATTGTCGCTTGTCAGTTTTGCCGCTCTTCTAGGTTGAACTCTTCTTGTTGAAATAAGTCATTGGGAAAGATTTCTCTACCGAACCACCGATCATCTATTTCAATGATTTTTACAGGAATTGTTTCGAAATTTTACCTGTACCGTTCGCGCGCCACAAGAAGAGCGGCGGAATATCGAACGGAAGATCGGTTCGAAAAGTGTATTCCTCGCTTCGCACGTATTTTCGGCACGAGCGAATTAGTGACGGCTGTCGCGTGCATCGATCGGATCGAAAAACGAGGAAAGCGGAGCTCCTCTGAATTCCTGGAGCTCATCTTGTGGCGGGCGCGTGGTACGTAACCGCCGCTCGCTCTCGGTTTCCGAGACATTCGCGAAAAACTTTCGGTACTGTTACATCGAATTCCGCGTGCGCTTACGAGTCCGTGGCGATGCCTCGGTATGGGACCGCCGCTTATCTCCTTTTTCTATAACGCGTCGCGACGGCCAACAACCGAGAGGTAACGGGTGAACTTCGAAATCAAACTTAACCGGTTTCGACTCTGGCTCGCGCCGGACCTGACGGCGACCCGAACAGTATAACCTAACCTGATCACCGATCGGATTAAATTTGATAAGGTTAGGTATACGGTCATACAAGTTCAACTTCAAAATCATAGAGACCCTTCGCAGATATGTAATATGTAAACGTTAGAAAATTGTTCTTTTCAATATCTTAACTAGTTTCACACAAAGTATAAATGAAGTAGATATTTGGACATGTAGGGATTTGGAGATTCATCCGCAGATTGAGATCTCTAGGACATCAAATGTACAAACAGCTGGAATAGTACAGTCCAACCTAACCTAGTGATTTGGACATTTATGAATCTGGGGATTTAGGTATTTGGTAGGCTGAGTATTTGTCAGACGGAGATTTGGAGATGTACGAATGTGGAGATTTGAGGAGCTTGATGAGTTAGGTATTTTGTGCAGGGATCTGGAGGACTGAGTATGTGGAGAATTAGGGATCGCGTGGCACGTAACCGCCGCTCGCTCTCGGTTTCCGAGACATTCGCGAAAAACTTTCGGTACTGTTACATCGAATTCCGCGTGCGCTTACGAGTCCGTGGCGATGCCTCGGTATGGGACCGCCGCTTATCTCCTTTTTCTATAACGCGTCGCGACGGCCAACAACCGAGAGGTAACGGGTGAACTTCGAAATCAAACTTAACCGGTTTCGACTTTGGCTCGCGCCGGACCTGACGGCGACCCGAACAGTATAACCTAACCTGATCACCGATCAGATTAAATTTGATAAGGTTAGGTATACGGTCATACAAGTTCAACTTCAAAATCATAGAGACCCTTCGCAGATATGTAATATGTAAACGTTAGAAAATTGTTCTTTTCAATATCTTAACTAGTTTCACACAAAGTATAAATGAAGTAGATATTTGGACATGTAGGGATTTGGAGATTCATCCGCGGATTGAGATCTCTAGGACATCAAATGTACAAACAGCTGGAATAGTACAGTCCAACCTAAC